GGTAATGAATGTAAAAACGGTTGGTTTAACAACACAATGCAGTTCGGGCAGAATCGATTCAATTTCGCCGTGTGGTGCGCAACGACAGGGTGCGGTGTAACGTTTAACGACAGTTGTCGTGATGTGCTGAGTCGGTCTGTGTTGTCGTTTCACATGTACTACCAGATCAGACGTATCCTGAAAGAGATCAGTGCCCCGATTCCACAGGATAAGGCGTGGAATGCTGTAAACAATCCATACGATTGACGTGCATACGAACCTGTTTGCGATGAATTCGAACTAGATGGTCGATTGGCGTTTGCCGGGTCCGAACCATTGTTTGGGCATTCCCATCGTTCACAACATGTCTCTCGTGGAAGCCAGCAAACAGCTGGTGAAAGATTGGGGTTACAAGTGGTGCCATTATGTCATGATGAGTGGAATGACGATTACATGGCTTTCGACGACAGCAAGGATTACCGCGTTTGGAGGTTTGAGCAGGGGCGATTGGAAAATGTTCATGTTGGACACTTTGAAAGGGTTTACTCATGCTGGTGAACGATTCGATTCGAACATACGATACGTGTGGGCCGTGATGTGCGCTCAGACGCAAACGCATTCCAGCATCGTGGGTGAAGGGACAGCTTACGACACGCAGAAACAGTTCATGGCTAACGTCTAAGGTTGCCATTGCTAGACTGGTCGATCTACCAAGTGCCATCGAACGCTATCAAAACGAGCTGGAATACGCCCTTTTGAAAGTCGACTACTTGTTCGGTGCGGGACTGTACATGGCTCCGAGCGACATGCAACTGGGCTACAACAACAAAATCATCATTGCCACTGGCGATCAAATGTTGGGCTTGAACCAGGACGTCAATAACGCGAGTCGGGTCATGCCGCAGTATGAAACGGGCATCGTGGGACCGACACCGGAAGTAGAAGCACCATGACAGCAACAACAGCGGCAGCTGCCTCCGCACGTGCAGGCAAACAATCAGTGGCACATCCATCACAAAACGGCGCTGGTGGTCGGCGGGATTGTGGTCGGACTGTGCCTCATTTGGTTAAAAATTCCTTAGCTGCGACGTACACATGAGGAAAGCCCAGAGGTTTTGACCGAGCCACGTGACCGTTTTCGACAAGAAGCCTAACAACCAGGAAACGATACTGCCCAAGATGCCAGAGCTGTCAGAACGCTGGTGATGGTGATCCCTTGTTCCCGGAGCTCCGGTCGACCAACGGGGTGTCCTCGTTCAAGACTTGGTCGATGGTTTCGCGCATGCGACTGATCTGCGATTGGATGGCTTACCAGTTGGAGGAAGCGGCTTCCAAGCGGGTCCGTCTCTCGTCTTCCAGGTCGCGCAATCTTTTCTCGATGATGTTTTTCATGGCCTCACATCCACGATCCTGAGTTTTCTTTTCTCATTCAGTTTACCCATGTTGTTCACGAGTTCTCCACGCACGTTTTTCAAGGCTTCGTCTAGACCACGAAGTTCCCTAAGGGGAAATTCAAACCGGGCAAAGGTTCGTCCCAGTACTGGTTCAATATTTTTTCGCTTTCATCTGACGCTTCTTTGGCACGCTTGCACGACAACCGAGAGAGACTGGTGGCGCTCGCTGTCGTCTGCAAACCCAAACAATACTTGGTTGGGGGTGACCATGCTCCCGATAAAATTTTCAAAATGCCAGCCGACGAAAGTGATAAGCTGTACACAAGACTCGGCACCGAAATGACGAAAACCATAGGGTCTGTCATAACGCAGGTCTACACCGGCGTAGCGTCGTACTTCCTTCTCATACCGCCAGAACGTTGACTTTAACACATAATATAACAGAATCATGCTACGATCGCCATGATGGTTGGTGGTGCATTAGTCAACGCCCTCGCATTTTCGGGCAGCAATTATCTCTTCTCCAAATTACAAACGTCGAACGCGGCCGAACATAAACGTCACGATTTGGCCGTGGAGAAATTGCAAGCAGCTTAAGCCGAGTACGCCCAAAATCGCGCGCTGAGAATATAGTCCATCGACAGTCCAGCACGATAACCACGCCGAAAGACACCATACAAGAATACTACCTGCTCACCAGCAAACGACTCGAACCTCTCGGGCGTAATACTAAATTCACTCACTCAGATATATTGAACTGACATTATATAAACTGGTAATATATACTGCACGATGAGGAGTTTGATGATTTTACGCCTGCTTCTGGCGGCTGCCAATTTCGCCGACGGGGCAGGAGGGTTTTAACAATAAATATGAATAGTTGGTAATAAGGAATAATACACCATGCCCCCAAAAATGTACGTTATGTAAAAAAATGTACGTTAACCTAAATGAATTTATAATAAAAACGTTAAAACATAAGATAAAAATAACAAAAAGCCGAATTTATAAAGGGAAAGGAAGCGAAAACAAGAGGTGGTTTGTGGTTTACTAAGAGAGAGAGTGGTAGGTATTTGATAGGTTATGGGAAAACGGGGGCCTAAGGTGGGGGTTGGGGGGAATAAGAGATAGGTATAGCATAGGTGGACTTTTTATAGATAATACAGTTAAGCTGTATTGTGGTATACATCAAGGGGCCTATAAAATAAACAAATAGGCTTTAAATAAGGGGAGGGGTGGTTGGGGTTGGAGGGAGCAAAGAAGGTGAGTTTGGTTGGTATATAGAAGAATGGGTGAGTGGCCGTGCCTGAGGCGAGAGGTGGGATATTGTTGGTGAGGGTGATTGATAAGGCGGGATTGAAATGGAGTGATTGCTAGGGGCCCGGATGTCGGAGAAGACAATGTATGCTGTATCGTATCGTATCGTATTTTAGGATTTTACGTCGGCTTCTGGTGGATGTCAATTTCGCTGACAGGGTAGGTGGGAGCTAAAGTAAAAATTAATATATTTTTTCTTATCCTGACTCATGCTATTATTGCTTGTCTTCTTCTTCTTGCGAACATAGTGGAACACTTGTATCTCCCTAATTGAAGCTCCCTTCAATGTAAAATCACTAATTAGTACTCACCAAGAGTTGCCTCCCTCTAGCCAAATGCGCGGGAACGGAGGCGCCACCTCTGCCCACATGCCTCACTCTCTCCTTCTTCGCCCAGTGAGCAGGATATGAGAGTGCCTGTGTCTCCCTACACTTTATATCCTTTGATTATTCTTAGTTAATTACCTCTTATAGTCTTCTATAGAGGTTTAGCTAGTATTCTTTCAACATTATGTATTGATATTTATTCGTGTTTCTACTGTTTATTCACGGGACGCCGTGATTGTTCAGTAGATTACGTTGATGAAAATCTGTACTGTTTGCAGGTTACGTTTTTCTGCTGCTGAACCGCATTTAATATGCCCTAGCTGTACTGCGCCATGTTCATTTTCTTCACGTTGCAGTTGCTGTACTAAATTATCCAATTCTGCCTTTAATAAATATTTACTTTGCGTTTTGAAATGCGCAGCAGATAGGTCACGTAAACAGAGTTTAGCCATGGCTAATACACCTGAACCCCTCGCCTGTCAACTGCTGTTGGACGAACCCCTCCTGTCTGGTATTCCGCTAGAGTTACCCTCGGAGGAGAGGCGTGGGACGCAGTCCGCCGGCTCCCAGAAGCGACCTGCATCCCCAGACATCCCGTCGTCGCAGCCAAAGACTAAGAGGGCTTCTACTTCGTCTCAACGCAGACTTCGCACCCCCAGGGCAGCGTGCACGTCCAAGGGGAAATCGACGAAGTCTACTAGAACCTTCTCAGCCGAGATTGTTCCCGCCGCAGAATTGGGCCTGTATGGGGATCAACCGATCATCATACCTGATCTACATCGAAAGAAGCGACCGGTGTCGGCAACAGTAACATCAGCGCAGATCAGCACGCAGTCTGATGTACCAACGCTGATGTCCGATGATCTTCCTGAGGGTCCCGTCGCTACCAACGCAGAGAAGGCAGCAACCACTTCAGCGCACACCGTCCCAGACGACCTGATGCGTCAGATCATGAAGTTGATGGAAGACCGCTACGGTCTGGAGAGGCAACCAGCCTCGAGCCTTCGCGAAGGCTCCAACGTAGACATCACTTCAGAGGGACCCGCGGTCAGCGAAGCTACTACTACGAAGCCAGCATTGAAGAAGCCACCTTCGCGAAGGTCGTCACAGCCCACCTCCACGAAGGACCAAGATGATCAGCATTCGCGGAAGGCTTCGCGAAGTCGACTAGATCACCACCTACCTCAGACTCTGATGATCAGCACTCGCGAGGAGGTTCGCGAAGCAAGATCCTCTCATCCCCAGACTCTGACTCAGACTCCCAGCCTTTGCGAAGGCCTTCCCCAGGACCGGACTCAGATGAAGCTTCGCAAAGGTCTTCGCGAAGGGAACCAGTTACAGGCTCCAAGTCATCTTCGTCTAGAAGGTCATCGAGGGATTCACCGAGAGCTTCGCGAAGCTATCAACGTTCACCACGTAGATCTCCGTGAAGGTCACCATATAGACGCCGCTCATCAGGCCGTTGCCACGTCGTTCTCCTCGCCGGTCTCCACGTCGATCGCCTCGTCGGTCACCTCGTCGATCTACTCACAAATCACCACGTCGGTCGTCTCTCAAGTCTTCACAGAAAAACCCCAGATAGGTCTCCGTTGACGTCACCCTGCAGAGCTGTACAAAGATACAGGACTCCACCCCAGTCACGATCGGAAGAGCACCAACATCTTATCTGCGATCCCGTTACAGAAGATGATGGAGGCATCATATTTTCCGACGCAGAAATACGCTACTGGATGGTGAATAACCTGAACCTATCTTCTCCGTCCAAGAAAGAGAACCCGGCCAACACATATCTCATGAGGGAAGGTGATGCAGATACAATCACCTTGCCTCCGATCGACCCGATAGCAGTGGTACCATATAATCTAGTGTTTCCCCCAGGATTCAAAAAGGGCAGGGCAACTGAATTTCAAAAAGGGCACCCCTATTACGAAAGGGGCATGCAATAGCAGATTTCCAAGTTTCAAATGGTTCTATGGCATATGGTTCTAAGGCTGAAAGAGCACAGTTATTTCACGTAACCTCGACATAAAATAAAAACTAAAAATAACCAAGTGTTGATATCAATCATTGTATTCTTTGTACAGTCTCAGATTTTCCTGTTCTTCCTGGACAGGAATTTTGCAACAACTTTGTCCATGTCAATGTCAGCTGTGGAAGATGTGTTCATGCTTATCATCAAGAGCCTGTTGCAGTTCTTCACACTCAGTCTGTTTCTGTGGTCAGTAACAATGAGCTTCACTCTTGAGAAAACCCTCTCCACTTCTGATGTTGACAGGATGACTGTAGCATAAACACTCAGCAGCTTGACCATGCATGGATACAGGTTGCCCAGCTGTGGCTTCAGGCTTGTCAATGTTGTGAGCATGGCTGCAGGTGAGCTAGTGTCAAGATCTTCAGAGAAGAGTTCCTTCACTTGATTCCACTCAAGAAGAGTTTGGTCTGTATCCAACTGGAACTGTTCTACAAGGTCTGACACCTGTAAGAGATATAAAATACAAATAGCTACTTGTAATATTAACAACAATGAAGTCATAATAAATATTTGTTTAGAAAGTATTGATTATATATAGATATATATATATATAGGCACAAATCAATCATAAAATGGTTTATTTCATTTATAACTTCATGTACATTATAAACATGTTGTCTGGTTTATTTCAGTTTTCAGGAACTCTAACTACCAATAATTTGAAATTATACTTGAAAAAAAATAATGCAACAATATCATGTACAACAAACATACCTCAGCATCTCCATGAAAGGTGAGAAATGAGGAATCCCCAGCTTTCCTCAGGTCAAGGGCTGACGGACTTGTGAGGACTGGTGTAGCTTGCAGTCTGTCTTCTAAGTTTCCAATCAGTAGGTCAAGGAAGGTATCCATTGAAGATTGTACTTTTATCTGCCTGCTATTGGTCATCTCTATACCATACTGGGAAGTAAGCTGGTCAACTTTTGAGAGATATGGGCCTGGCTTCTCCTTCATCCTCTTCAGTGAAGCTACACTGCTGCGAAGTTGTGGTTCAACAATACTCAAGTCCAAATCTCTCCTCTCAAAAAGCTTTGTCAGGTTAGCCAACATGGAACAGACACCGCAGAGGAGCAGGATAAAGTACAATTTGTCATATGACTTCAGCTGTTTGTAAAGTCCTTCAGCAGTTTACACTAAGCTTGTCACCAGCCCTCTTGTCATTGCCCATTCAAACTGCATTTTCCAGATCTGCAAGAATTGCTGGGTAACACTGCCTGACTCATGGCTCAACCACCTGGTATGCACTGCCTTCTTGATTGTGATTGGATTTCCGGATTCTGAGCCTTCCATTTCTTTTGTCAAAATCTGCATTTTCTCCTGGCTTTTCGATCTAACTGTGCTGTAGTGGTAATATTTAAACAGCCCCATCAACAGTTCACCAACACATCCAATTGCTGTCACAGATTTAAATGCAGAGCTTATGGCAAGTTGTAGTCTGTGGTTGATGCAATGGACATCGATCATAGCAGGATTGTCTTTCTTCAGCTGTGTGACAACCCCTTTTTGTTTTCCAACCATCACAGCTGGTCCATCACTAACAAAACATGTCATCTTCTTTGGGTTGAGGTTTGCTTCTGTCAAATAACCCTTTCACAGACTCAACTATTGTGTCTGCAGTTCCATTCGGGATTTCCTGATCACAAAGGTAAGCTAGCTTGGACTCCCCATCCTCAACATAATGGCCAACAAAAGCAAGATGTTTCCTCGTTGAAACATCTGTATACTCATCAAGCATGAGTCCAAATGAAGTGCTCTCCTTCATTTTCTTCTCCACTTCCTCTTCCACTACTTCAACTTGGCATTCAACAAACTCTTGTCTTGTCCTATGACCCTTGTAAGATGCATTCTTACCACAGTAAAGGTTGGCAATGTTAGGAGCTCCAAGTTCAATGCATAAATCAATTAAAGGTCCAAAAAGTCCAGAAAAATTCCTGAAAGCATTCTTAATTGAAACTGCTTCCTCCTTCTCATGTGAAATTGCATCTTGATGCATCGGTGAGGTTTCATGCAATGACACTTTGTCAAGTCTAATGGTCTCACATCCCTCCTTATTCCATACCATGGATCCATTTCTCCCTTTTGTATTCCACTTTTGACAAAGAGAACAAAACATCATGCCATATTTGACGCCATCTTCATTTTGGACATCTTGATATTTCAACCAAGGCCTGTCCTCTTGCCACTTGGATTCAAATGTCAATTTGTGCCCTGCATCTTTTTTCTCTTTCTTTTGAAAACAAGCTGTACTGTTTTCTGTCACTGCAGGAGTTTCAGATTCATCTGCCGAACAAATCCTGTCTTCATAGGAAAATACTTCTGAATTCTCCAGATTAGGCCTGAAATGTATTATAAGTTACTAAGTATTATGTTTATAGCACAAAAGCAAAAATATTAATCAGAACGTAAATATAGTAGTTCGGAGTATATAACGTCATTAATATGAAAGATAATGTGACTGTAATGTGGCTGCAGTGTTGCAACTTGCAGTTATTACCTCATTTTCAGATAAAGGTGTTGACATTTTCTTTGTTAAAATAAGCAGCATAAGCTAAAGAAAAAACAAAATATTCCTGCAAATATTGTGACTCACATTATGGAACTATGTAAATGCTCAAAGGATACAACTCATTACTAAATCCATCCCATACGTTATGTTTTCGCACTTCCATACTGCGACCCTGATTATGGCTTCGTAATTATTTCCAATCCGACTAAGCACTTCAAAACATACCAATAACTTGTAAAATTATGATACCCCTAATACTAATAACGTGATTATGCATTGTTCAATAGTTTAAAATGTTGAAATACACAAAACAAATTGTCTATTATACGTTTTATCGGTAAAAATTGAAACAAAATGGCAGACACTTCCGCTTGGGTAACCCAGTTGTAAGCGATACATTTTCGTCGAAATATCTGACCGAGAGCCTATGTAAAGACACTAATGCAAAATATTTTGTACTACTACAAAAGCCTGAGTCATCTGTTCTTGTCGTATACAATTTATTATGGTGATGTGCTATAACGAAATTAACTGCACATATGATAAAGCCACCTACCTCGCGAAGAAATCAAGAAGTCGTTGACACTTCCTGGCTTCAGCCCTCATAGCTTCAACTGTTAGATCTAATAGACGATCTCAACATACATGTCAGAGCATGTCATATTACAGGAGCCAAGAATGTTCTAGCAGATGCACTCTCTCGGCCACATCTACCGTCGCCGACAGAATGGATGCTCCCTACAGAGATATTTGCACAAATTATCAAGAAAATAGGAGCTCCGCTAGTAGACCTATTCGCCACTCGCTTCAACAATCAGCTAACAACATTCGTATCACCAGTCCCGGATCCACTAGCATGGGCAACAGACGCACTAAGCATATCCTGGGAAGGCCTATACGTGTACGCCGCGTTTGCGCCGCCAGCGTTAATCCCACAGGTGTTACAGAAAATCAAGCAAACTCGGAGCCTCCAAATGATTTTGGTCGCGCCCTACTGGCCAGCGAGAACGTGGTTTCCAATTCTTACTCAAGAAATCGGACAACCAATACTACATCTTCCAAAGCGTTCGAATCTACTAATACATCCTCACACCAAACAAGCGCACGGAAAGCCAGAAGCATTCCAACTTCACGTATGGACTGTATTAAAGCGTGTCTAAACAAGAGAGGTTATTCAGCCAGAGCGGCGAAAGCAGTCACGCTTGCTTTACTCATTCCACTTGCAACTTGTATGACCACAAGTGGCACAGTTTTGAAACATACGTTGCTAAAAAGGGATTTACAGGGCGATTTACAGCTAGAAACGCTACACATCCACAAGTGGCTGACTACCTATGTTACTTACGACAGACTAAACGTCTAAAAGGCTCAACATTGTCAACATATCTCGCAGCTTTAAGCTCCATGATAACTATGAGAGCGGGTGTCAAGTTAACCAAAACACCGGAATTACTGGCCTTACTACGTGCATTCCGATTGGAGGATCAGAAACAGAGATTTCGCGCTCCAGCATGGGATCTGAATATAGTGCTCCAACATCTCACAAGTGAGGCATATGAACCACTGGAATCAACATCATTTGAATTTCTGACACAGAAAACATTGTTCCTGTTATCTCTAGCAACGGCAGCCAGGATGTCAGAAATTCACGCACTAGATTATGAGAGAACACGTTTCGATGACAATCAAAACATCATGCATATGGGACTACGCTGGGATTTCATCGCCAAGAATCAATTGCCAGGTCAACCAGACAGATTATTCCATGTCCCTGCACGCTCGTCAATTCTTGGACCTCATGATACGCTTAATCTATCATTATGCCCAGTCAGAGCACTCAAAATCTATCTACAATGATCCAAACCGAGGCGATGAAACCTCAAGCGGTTATTCATCCCTCTTTCGACAGCGACACAGACTGAAGTCTCGCGTACCACGATGTCGATATGAATCAGAACTGTCATACTTCGCGCCTACAAGGCTGCAGGACTTGACCCTCCAAGAGCATCTAATCCACATGAAATTAGAGCACTGGCTTCAACACTCGCTCTACACGGTAATTGCTCTTTGAATACCATTATGGAGGGCTGCTTTTGGAAATCCGACATGGTGTTTGCCAACCACTATCTGAGAGATATCACCACCGAGGACGTCTCAGGTATTCACCATTTCGGTCCCATGGTCCTCGCACAGCAGTTGACAGTCCCTCGTAGACGATAAGTCATAGTCTTACGAGATTATTACTGTTCATATCATAACAGTACTATCTAGCTTATAACTCTACAGAGTTTGTGCTATTATATATATTTAGCTTAAGTCTACATTAATCTTAAGCCCAGTACTGATGTTGTATGTACTTTGGGTCGTTTCTCCACTTTGGAGTAGCTTCTTTTATTATTATGTTTATCATAATATCTATATATATTGTAGTAACCCATATATGGCAGCTGGTAAACTTACCAGCAGGAATTATATTAATTCAGTGCCATTATGAAGTTCCCACAGGGGTTATTACAGTTATAAGTCACTAATTATTAAAATCCAAAGTATTCTGTTTTCCCACCTCCGTTTCCGTAGGATTCTACAAGCAATAATAGCATGAGTCAGGATAAGGAAAAATATGTAATTTTCTGAATAAAATTGATATTTTATACTTATCCTGACTCATGAGGTAAGCCCTCCCATCCTCCCCACATAACACTTTGGATTTCCCTGAAAATTCAAGTGTTGGGCTCGTTATATAAGGAGAGAGTGAGGCATGTGGGCAGAGGTGGCGCCTCCGTTCTCACGCATTTGGCTAGAGGGAGGCAACTCTTGGTGAGTACTAATTAGGCCGTTTTTTTTTTTATTAATTGGTTTACGGATCCGCCGACCCTAATTTTTGGCAATGGCAAATAAAAATAAAATTTCAATGAGAAGTGTTTTTTATTACCGCGGAGTCCTGGGTATCAAAACCTACATTAAAAAAAAGATCGACTGACATACCCGATATTAAAATCAGTCATCTATCTGCACTGGTTCAGAAATAAATATTTCACTTGTAGAAAAATCGCGGGCACGACTACGAATCAATAACAATGTCTGAAAACACTTATTACATTTCAAATGACCATATATTATCGACAGAATTGGAAATATGAGATATTTTTCGCAATGTTATTAAAAAAACGATTCTCGGACACATGCTTCGGCAAACGGGTCCACATTCAAGTTGTCAAAGAACAAAGTAACGATGTTTCGAGATAATAATTAAACAAATTGAATTAACTGAAGAATTCAATAGCAGTACTCATAAAAGTTGTCAAACGTACATTATAACTTGCTATTTCCATCTTATTGTGCAATCGTGTAATGTAATTCAAGTGACATCTCGACTTTCGTCGCCTCGAACTACGTGCTCGGACACAATGTTTAATGCTAAAATATATGCATTACCCATTTTTGTCACACGTCATAACCTAGCACGATACGTCCATTAAGGTCCATAATATACGCATAGGTAGTGATCTTGTGCGTAACACGTTCAGAATTGCATGACTTTACCCAAAACTTTCATCTGAATCTAAAGGTTTTCCTTTACGAGGACTCGATATCCATTGCTGCAGTATGATTGGCTGCCTTAGGTCAATGTGTGTGATTTTGACCAATCACAAACCTCAGTAGCAGACTATGACAGAAATGCGCCATTAGAAACCAATCTTTATCCAATAAAATCGCTTGTTACAACTGTGAAAATACTCTTGGCAAGGGTACAGTGATATTGTTGATGTTCAGAGCTTCGAACGATACCCGCCATCAAAGCGAATCGCCTTCACATGTTTTTCATAATGAAGCTTCGAAAACGGAGGTATTTCCCACTGTTGTATCAACGCTATCGAGCCGGAAAGACACTGGTATCGGGGAAATAGACGACCATACATATTATTTGAGAAATCTCTTTGTAATAGTTTTCCGATGACGTAAACATGAAAATATAAAAGAAAAACGTATGGGAATAATTATGAAATGTTACAAATGGAAAAAATCGCCGCATTCGTGGTTTATCTGGACCTTATAAATGTGTAAGCTTGCATTTTCATTAAATATTAACTTATTTACGTTGCAGTTGTATTATTTGAATAATATGATCATATGCATCTGTCAGGACTGAATTAAATTATGCCAAAACGTATTGTGTGTTTGTTTGTTATGATACCACACCTCTGTCAAATTAATTGAAATTTGAGGACTACCAAACTTGTTACTACTGTGGCGACGATGATGTGGCCATTATGTGAAACATGTCTGCAGACTGGAAAGCAGTGTGAAATGCCCTAAAAGATGGACCAATGAAGAAATAGTCATTGATTTCTGCATTTTGTAAACAAATAAGCAACAATTCAAAGACGACTCGACACTATTAAAGTCAGTAGTGAATATGTCCCTTGTTCGTACTTTCATTTTATTAAATATAGAGGATATTTCATGTTTCCTGTGCAATTTCAGTTACCTCTCATCTCATAATGCTGATATTTGCAGAGATATTACACTGAAAACATGACTAATCCTATATATTCGATGCTTCAAAGATGGAAAAGAGGCATGTCCAGACTGTCCATACCATTGTTGCACTGTCACCAAGCAACGACTATTAAATGATGTCAGGTTGATTGTAATAGTGAGGTACCGCATTCTACAGGTGATGTCAACATATTTTTGACATTATTACAGAGTTCGAAAAGTCAGTCATTCACTCTTATGATTCACAATAATTATTCTTCTCTTACAATATCAAAATTTGGATTATCTTTTTTAATCCTACCGACGCGAATGTTGAGACAAACACTTAAAAAAATTGAAGACTTTCAATTTTATTTTTATTTTTATTTCGACCACCGACCCTAGTTATTTTGGAAAAAAATCTGTAAACCAATTAATAAAAAAAAAATGGCCTTAGTGATTTTACATTGAAGGGAGCTTGAATTAGGGAGATACAAGTGTTCCACTATGTTCACAAGAAGAAGAAGAAAAGCAATAATAGCATGAGTCAGGATAAGTATAAAATATCAATTTTATTCAGAAAATTACATGTTTATAATAGGGGATAAACCACCATACCCAAGAAAATGTAAATGGTGGGGCATTAACCTAGGTAGAATTTGTAATTTAAACATTGATAAATATAGAAAAAGAAATAAATTAATAAAAAGCCGAATTTATAAAGGAAAACGGAAGGAATGGAGGTGATGTTTGTTAATACGTAAGAGAAAGAGTTGAAATTAAACGATAAGTAGCGTAAAAGGGGGCCTATGGGGGCTGAGGTGAGGGGGTGAGTATTAAGACACGCATTATAGCATAGGGGGCATAAGTTGTGAATGCAGTTTAGCTGCATGAGTTAAATAATGGGGATAAATAAGGAAAGAATAAGGGGTTAAGTTGGGGTGGGAGGGGGGCCAGGGGGAGCGAAGAAGGCAGAGGGGGCATCGGCCGAAGCTGGAGGGGGGCAGAGAGACGGTGTGCTGGCTGAGTTGGGATGGCCTTGACCTTGGCAGTGAGCGCTTGTGGCAGGTTGTTTACATTAGTGAGCGTGTGCAGTGTATGGATAAGTGAAATTGAGCGCCGGGTCT